GATCCAGCCTTCTCTTAAAGACCCCCAAGGTAGGGGAGAGCACTACTTCCCTTGGAAACCCATTCCAAATTTTGGCCACCTTTACCATGAAGAAGTTTTTCCTGATATCTAGCCTAAATCTGCTCGCTCTCTGTTTGTGACCATTGTTACTCCAAGAGGTGCTCTGGTGAACAGAGCATCTCCAACACCTTGCTGCGTCCCCCTAATGAATTTGTAGGTGGCCACAAGATCACCTCTCAGCCTTCTCTTGCAGCCACATGATCATCTCTCAGCCTTCTCTAGCAATACACCCATTGCTAATCTTATTCTTGTGCAAATAAGTGCAGAGAATAATAGTTTATGTTACATAAATGTAAAACTACTTAAGAGAGAATCAGTTAACTTAAAGTAATTGGAATTGCACAAGTATTAAATCAGAATCAGGCCATAATAATTAGTATATCATTATAGATATGCCCTAGATGATACAATAGACTGTACTAACTTGCATGATGTTTTTGAGAGAACCATGTAGGATGATTTCTAAACAAGCTAAAGAGCTGTTATCGTTCTTCTGAATTCCATATGTCTTAAGTAAGTCCTAGAGAATCTTGATAGTTAAATCTCTCATTTCTTTTCCACACAGATAATTTTGAAAAGTGCATGCTTGTGTATTTCTTATCCATTTTGTTTAGTGCACAATTTGTAGGACAGGACTGAAAGACATGTATCCCAAAATACCATTTCTTGTTTCCTCTTGATCCCATTGTCTTATTTCTTCATATGTCTCCAGTTCTTCCAGACACAAATTAAGGTACCTCTTGAATAGTTTTATACACAGTAGTTTAATTTCAACTCTAACATGATTACAACATTAAATATTGACAGTGAGGATTTATATTGGTATACTCTCTTCTACCCACATACCTCTTCAGTAGTGTATTACAGTGTAAATGAACGGGCACTGGCATCTAACTCATATCTAGCTATTTCAGATTTCCTCCTGACTGACCCGCTTAAGATAATTAGCTTCTGCCTTATGCTGAACTGACAACTACCTGAGAAACAGCAGGCATTTCCAATGTTAATAATGTTATGCAGCCCAAGGCTTTTTTCCCTAAATTACTTGCATAAAGAACGTAGGCAGCAAGTCAGATTTGTTGAATAAATTGTGAAAATGTTTTAGCTTAACAGTATCTATGACCAAATCAGAACAACAGAAAAGAACGGGGTAATAATCATATGTCAGACTGGAAGCTAAATATGGTATCTATAGGCAGGCAAAAAGCCACCAGCTATATTTATTACTGAATTACAATTACAGTCTTATAGTGCTCATTATTTACATCACATAATGAAATGGCCTGCATTCCCAAAGAGTTTACACTGTGGGGAAAAGAACAAATTGTATCAAGTTAAAAAGAGTAGGGATTTACCACGTGGCACCTACTATGTGGAAGCTATCTATCTTACCCCATGATAAGTGAAAGATAAACCACAACAGTTTAGTTTTGATTCACTGAGGAATAACCTCAGTGGCAGACCTTGTGGCTGCCTATAAGTTCATCACGGGGGCACAGAAGGGAATTGGGAGTATTTATTCACCAAGGCGCCCCCAGGGGTTACAAGAAATAATGGCCACAAGCTAGCAGAGAGCAGATTTAGATTGGACATTAGGAAGAACTTCTTCACAGTTAGAGTGGCCAAGGTCTGGAACAGGCTCCCAAGGGAGGTGGTGCTCTCCCCTACCCTGGAGGTCTTCAAGAGGAGGTTAGATGAGTATCTAGCTGGGGTCATCTAGACCCAGAGTATTTAGCTGGGATCATCTAGACCCAGCACTCTTTCCTGCTTATGCAGGGGGTCGGACTTGATGATCTATTGAGGTCCCTTCCGACCCTAACATCTATGAATCTATGAACCTGTCTTCCTTTAGCTTCCATTTACCACAAGATAAGAGTGAGCACATAGACAGTTATCATGGAGTAGCTGATGTATAGCTGAGTCCCTAACCTTTTTAACTCTCTGTCATTTGTTCATCTGTGCTTATTCTTGCCACGGATCAGGCAACGCTTTACTGATGCCTCTCACGTGTTGACATTTATATTATGTAAATCTAAATCTGAACATACCTCCTATGTCTTGATGTTCCAATACAAACAGAGTTTCAAAACTATCAGCATTAAATAGCAAATAATTGCCTCAAAGTAAAGACATTTTTACTCTCAAGAATTATGCACCAATAAGAAATAGATAATCTAACTATACGTTGGCAGTAGAGATCAATTGCTAATTCAATTGCTGATATTGCTAATTCAAATATGTTTAAAATGTGTGTAGGAATAAATATGGCAAGAATTGCAGTTGACATGGTCAAATAGTTCTAAGGAACTGCAAATTATAATAGTGAAGCTTTCAATCACTGGAAAAAGGCTGGCATTTAGGGTTTCTTCACTTCCTGAAAGACTTCAATGCTATCATAGAAAGATGGTTTTGTTATATTTTTGTTACAATTAGCTAATGATTCCCAGCCCATATGGTTATACCAGATGTCTGAACCTTTGTTAGCCAATCACATTTCTCCTTTCATAAGAACAATTTTATACAACTTAATAATAATAATAGTCAAGGCCATTATTTTAATTGTCATCACTCCAAAACCAAACACTGCAATATGATGAATAAATATACTGAACATTTCCCTTTGATTGTTGAGCTCTATGTGTGCACAGAAATGCATGATTTTAATCCTGAAACATTTCCCCATTGAAGCTGCTATCAGACAGCCCTTCTCTTTGCCTTGAATAGTCTCCAGGTGGTGACTGTGATTGCAAATGCCAGAAATTTGCATGTACTACCAACTGTAGCAGCATTTCTGTTACCAGTTTCCATGTCTTTGCTTTCCATTATTTATCTCTCTTAACTTTACAATTTTTGCTATTACTATTCTATTATTAATATTAAAATCATGCCCAGAACCCCATAACAGGATTTTTCTGTTTTATCCCTTCACACCTCTTT